CAATGACGCCGAGTCATTTTTCAACACCCTGGAAAGCAGCTTCCCAGACGCCCACCCCAGCTTCTGGCTGTTTGTGACGAAAATGAACGAGGTATGTCTCATTACACCGTGCGTGCGGCGCAACCAGTGCATTGTATCCTCGTAATGCTATAATGCTGACTAAATATTTCTCGTCTAGGACCAGCGCCTTAGGAATTCCTCAGAGGCGTGCAAGCACTCTTTACGCTGCACTCTTTATCTGTTTGAGGCTGCTCCACGTCGAAGACAGAATGTGCGTACGGTATTTTTTGCATTACTCCGCCCATGAAAATAAGTTTGTTAGGTCGTGCATGACAATTCCAGTCCCAAAACAATGTAATATTAGCAACTCCCAATGTTTTATGAAATGGGTATCACACATAGCTCTACACGCAGAAAATAAACCAAAGTCATTTTAGTCCACAGAACGTTCATATATGCCCAACTCCTGTCATGTCCAGGTGATCGCGGCAGCTAACAGAGACTGCCGAGCTGCGGAGCTGGGCACGCTCCAGCGGACTGCGCGCTCCACGAGACGCTCCCACTGGATACGCGGCCGTCTTCCGAGCTCTGCAGCAAGAGACGGTGGAGGGCGGCCGGTCCCTGTCCGAATACCTAGAGGCGGCCAAGCACCTATTCAGGCAGCGAACGGCAAACCAGGTAGGCGTTCCGGAGGAGGTACGCCAAACTAATATGGAACAAACCTGACTCAAAGCCACATCAAGTAACTTTGTTCACATGCGCGAAAACACATCGCGCCCAGGACGCACAATTCTTGCTGACTTCAGGAGGCACCGCTATTCTGATGCAAATGCAAAGAAACCAGGGGCAACGTAGACGGCTCCTTGACGATTAGGTCGACCCTACAAGTGAACACATAGGGTCACCGGAAACAGCGTAGGGCCTCTGGACAGCGTAAGCATTATTAAGGCCTCTCAATCACTACCATCTCAGCCCGTGAACAAGTTTCTCCTGCCCGTGGGTCCTCCACTTCCCTTAAAACTGTTATCGGTCGCCTGAAAGCCCAGAGACGTCCGATATTGTTGCCTTCTGTGTAAATAACTGCGTCTGTTCGACTGGCTATTGGGCCCCTTGAAACCGATGGGTCCCTTCGGGGCCCAAGGGGCACGACGCCGTGCCCCCCCCCCTTCCCTCTAGATCCACCCCTGGGTACACTAATTCACGCCGAATTCAACCAAAGCTTCGTTCTTGCCGTGACGTTTTGTTATTCTGAATGTTATCATCAAATGACTCAATTTGAGAAGATACGTTTTATCAAAACATTTCCGGCCGTTCCAATGTTTTAATTAGCCGGCGATAATGCAAGCAGAAAGTGCGCAGTTTAAATCTTCCACTGATACGAGGTCCTGGAGAGCGATATGGAACAAGCTCCGTCATTCGAGATAAGTGCCACTATTGCAGCTAAATGGCACTGGAATAGCTAAGCATCGCTCCCGCATGTGTAATGTGGATGTATCCGGTACAAAACTCAAGACAGCTGCGCACTGGAAGTCCTTAACACCGGCCACTGCCTGAAAGCTCGGCACCAGCGCCCAGAGCGCCATGGGGTGTCATCCGTGTTTACATGCATCACGCGTTTAAGCGCTAGCCTCTCGGAAACTGGTCATCAAGAACTCGAGATAATGACATGAATGCTCAGCAGTAACAGCCACCGTATTGTGTCGCCGCTGTGGACGACCAGATGCGGAGAAAAATCGACAGGCGCTGCCAACTCTCGCTGCTGCTAACTGCTGCAGGTGACACGTACGAAGTATCTTGCCGACACCTTTTCTGATTATGGATCCGAGGGGTCCTTCCAGGCCCTCCTCCGACGCTCTTGTAATCTCATCTCTCCCATTTGGCACGTCGTGACGGTCCCCTTAGACTGGCGAGGAGAGGGGACTGGTTGGACTGGACCTCGTTGTCTGCGCCCCTGCTCCCTCGTCGCGTTAATGGACGGGTAAACATGAACTGCGTCCGACCTCGGGTCCTCGGGCTGGGTTGGATCTAGCAGACCTGGTGCCATTGCACGCGGTCGACGCAGTTCAGAGGTCTGGCCTAGACTCCTGAGTTGGCACTCTCTGCCCTCGACCCACAGTTCGGCCAGAGGCGACCTATCGGAAGTCACGACTTATGAAGTTGCCGATGATGCCACAGGTCACCAATGATACAAACGCCTAACAATCCAGCCCGTTCCGTGCCCAATTCAAGCAAACGGGCAACCTTTCCGATAAAGTCAGCCATGAAGACTGAAGAAAATCGAAAAGCAAGCATTCCGAAATGTACAGCGCCACTAGGGTGGCCCAAGAAGCACATGATTGTGTCAGGGACCGTGTTCAACGCCAGGAAGTGGTCCAGAACCGCCCCAAGGCTGACATCAGTGTAATTCACGTCCATCGATGATATATTAGTGCACTGTGTTTTAAACTGCGAGCCCGTGCGTGCCTTTTGGCGCAAGACATCAGCTACTGTAAACCAATATGTTAGATCCTCTCGAATCAGGCTCGGCGCGAGCGCTGTGCTATTTGGTGATCCGAACTTCCCATGTGCTGAAAATATCGTGATGTTGCCAGCTAAAAGATATATACGCATGCGATGAAGAAAGAAGAAAGCTCCTCTTATGAAGCATTTCGAGTGCATGTCGAACAATCCTTTCAAACCGAACGAGTAACAGCTTACAGAAGCAAGCGGAATAATCAGCGGTCCATGGAGAATGGCGAGTGTTTTGTGATGGCGATATGATCATGTTCTGAGCAGTGAAGCCCAGCAGTGGCAGTGACTGTCACACATGTATGATGATCTGAAATTGCGTTTTGTTGTTTCACCGACATGTTCGTTGCTTCTCTGGAAGATGCACTGTCGGGATGGATTGATAAGTGTCAAGATAGCCACGCGCAGCTGACCGCCGCTGCGGCCTCTTGGTCCTGAGGGCGGTCGCATCATAGTTCAGTGTATGTTTACGTGAGTTTGTATGTACGTGAGTGTTTACGACAAATGCTTTTTTGGGAATGTTGATGAATTGCGAAGAAGGCATGTCCTTCAAACCTGTTGCTATAACACAAGATTGCAGGTGCGCATGTGTCCCGTGACCTAATCACAAAATCGTGTGACCTCAATGAGAGTAACGCGGGAGAGCATTTTCGAAAGGTGGTTTATGTGCACCGAAAACATTGATGCCCCTAATGGTGCAAGAGGTTTGGCAATCAGTTATGGGGTGTGTGCGATGGCTGTGGCCATGGAAGCACCCAGACGCCTTCGCGTTATGTACGCAAACACAACTAGGAAGGTTGATAAGTCAGTTGCTGTTGCGCCACTCTTTCTGTCGATCAAATTGCAGTGTCAGTTACGCCTCTTCCAGCACTCCCGCTGCAAGGTCTTGGCTGGTTGCGACGATCGGTAGTCGGTGCCGGTCAGCTCCTGACCAGAACCTCCCCGGCAAGCCGGACCAGGGCGGGACCGCGGCGTGTGCCGCGGCGCACAGGGTCAGCACCTCATACGGACCAAGTGTTCGCTCGCTTCGCTGGCTCATGGCTCGTCCACCGCGCTCGGCATAACGCCGCTCCCACCAGCGCGGACGCTCGCGGGATGCCCGGCCGCGGCGTCGGGCAGCGCTACCGCTGAGACTGCTATCTAGCGGTATGCCTCATGTACTAAGCCATCGCGTCCGAGCCTCCTATGCAGAGCGTTGGCGACACGACGCTATTGCCCGGCACGTGAAGAAGGCGGCCGCCGGGCGGTAGAAGGCGGCGGTCTCTAGCGGGCCGGCCCCTCGACTGACGTCACAGCTCCAGCGGGCCGGCCCCTCGACTGACGTCACAGCTCCAGCGGGCCGGCCCCTCGACTGACGTCACAGCTCCAGCGGGCCGGCCCCTCGACTGACGTCACAGCTCTAGCGGGCCGGCCCCAGTCGACTGACGTTACCAGTCCTACCATCCAGGGGACCTTTCTCCTGCCTCCAGAAGCTGAGACCGTCTCCGGGTGCCCCGCTGCGGACAGGCCGATCTCCCGGCGCCCCCTGACGCTCGTCCCAGGAGGCAGAAGTGCGCGGAACTTGCGGGCTGTCGGGGGCGCCGCCGCCGTGTCCGGGTGGAGGCGCCAGTGGTGCGGACGTTCGGCACGTGACTCCCCGCCGGGGGCAGATTACAAAAGGGTTGACTTGTGACTTAGTTGACTTGTGTGAGTCAAACTTCAAAGTTCATACCGGCTTTCACAACATGTTTTGATCTTGCTGTCTTTCGCTGCGATGAGCGTTCTCAAATAGCTTTGCCCCCGTCAAATATTCTTGGATATACCATTAAAGCCAAAATCATGCCGATTTCGTGGCCAATTTTCCGCATCTTTAGGGGGGTTGTGGTCGTTGTCCCTTCCCCCCCCCCCCGGATCCATTATGCACTCCGCCAACCAAAAGTTGACGTAGCGTCTGTACCCGCCGTCGTGGTCACGATCCAGTGAAGGCCGGTGATGAGTCAGACGCCCAAGCTGCTCCTCAGACCCGTACGTGGAGCTCTCCATGGGACCTGGACAGTGCTGCAGATTAATGTCCTTTAGCGTTACTTAGACATTTATTTTTGATCACGCTCTGATGTCTCCTGCTGTGAGCTTGTTGACACTGTATTACCACTCCTAGCGTGTATCTATGTTGTTCATTGCTGTACTTATATCACTCGGCCCGGCTACACAGCGGCCCGTTTGTAAGGCTCCAGTTTAAAAGTCATTTTCCGCCTCCAAACGTGGCTCTAGATTGGCCAAGTGTGGTGGTGGGATTCGGTTTAAGCAGCGCAGAACGGAGCGAGTGACATTATGTGCGGCGAAACTCAGATACCCGTGGCCGCATCTTCTGTCTGATATGGTGCTACGACGGCCACCTAGCAGCCAAGTGTCCTTGTCGCCCTGCCTGTCCTTCGATGTTGGCGGTCGGCGGGACAGCGGTCGGTCTACGCCGCATCCTGTTGACATCTCCACAGCTTTTGATAGTGGCGAGCTCAGTCGACTTCCTGAGCCTGAAGCAGTCCGGGTGGAATGGCGCCGATCCCCACCGACTGCGGGACCGGCTCAGCGGACGTGAGCAGCGCGTGACGGTGTGCTGTCGGATGACTCACGACATGGTCCCGGGGCCATTGCGGGGGGGGGGGGGAGGCTGGTATTGTTTGCATCTTTTACTGACGGCGTTCTATCTCATATCAGGGACGGCAAAATTTTCGAGCATGAAGACGATGTTCGGCTCATCAATGCCTGTGACGCAAACTCTTGGCTTCAGCTGAAGGAAGCGAACAAATTAACTCTGGCTATAGCCAACTTTTAACCTGACATAGTAGTTTGAAGACAAAAATGACAAAAGCCGTTGGCATAATGCCAGCTCCTGTCTGCGACGCTCGGCGGGCTCGTTGCCTGGAGTTTCGACGGTCCGATATTCAAACTTCTGACCTGAATGCAAAACGTAGATATGGCCCTGGAGTGGCCCTGGAATGGCCATGCTGTTGAAAAGCGCCTAACTAAAAAGTTGGCATGTTTTGTTATTGAGTGATATCATGCCCGCACTGGTGACATTGTAAATTCTTGCAAATTTTAACGGGATATAGAAGGAAGACTCGACTGGTGTTGTTCTCCGCCTGTAGTGCCGTTGGACGGACTGAGGAAGCCGCAATCATGTTCAGCGGCGCCGCAGTCAAAAAGCTGATAACCGTGGTATGCGCATAGTTCAGGCTTTCTGTATATATGAGCACGTTTTACTGCTCTGGCTGAAGTGAAATGACAAAGATTTGATGTGTTATTAGTCGCGCGTCGCGTGGCAGCAGTGTTCCATTCTGTATGCATGTGCGCCTGCAGCAGGAAAGCGGTGCCCATGGTTGCCTGATGCGGTATCTGCTCGCAATGCTGGAGGGGCCGCCGAGAGCCTCCAGTAGCTCTGAGCTACGGCGGCATGGGACAGCATCCGTGTCGAGGTGTGCGAGCCAGCAAGCCTCGGTGGTTGCTGGAGGGACTGCCGAGAGCCTCCAGTAGCTCTGAGCTGCGGCGGCATGGGACAGCATCCGTGTCGAGGTGTGCGAGCCAGCAAGCCTCGGTGGTTGCTGGAGGGACTGCCGAGAGCCTCCAGTAGCTCTGAGCTGTGGAGGTATGGGACAACATTCGTGTCGAGGTGTGCGAACCAGCAAGCCTCGGTGGTTGCTGGAGGGACTGCCGAGAGCCTCCAGTAGCTCTGAGCTGCGGAGGTATGGGACAGCATCCGTGTCGAGGTGTGCGAGCCAGCAAGCTTCGGTGGTTGCGTCCTTTGCTGGAACAGTCCAGTGCGTAAACAGTCCAGTTCATGACATGTAAATGCATCTGTCCATATAAACAGTCATGTCATGTTCTGTGTCGCATCACCCGCCTTCCAGATGAATGAAGAGCTCCGCTAGCAAGCCAAGGGAATGGTTATGGGACCACCTCTGCCATCGGCGATTGCCAACATGTACATTGATCCGCAAACAGACACATATTTCTTTAGCCAGTCAACGCGCGCGCTGCTATTTTGTTGTCAGATATGTGACACAACACTAAAAATATTTCAACCACCTTGTACCGTATTCGCTATCAATGCCGTTCCAGCTGAGATCCATGCAAGCGAATGTGGCCAGATTCAGGGCACGATATAAAACTGCGGAGCCGAAACAACCCACCTGAGATCGAACATTGACAACGACAAGCCAAAAGGTGAAGGACTCAGCGCCAACATCGCGTGACCTATCGTGACCTGACATGACCTGACCGTGTCAGAATGTAGCTCTTGCTAGGTACAGGCAAAAGGTCATATAGCTTTCAAAGGGAACAGTGATACGATAACCCACTGCCTGCATGTTTGCTCTTAATCTAAATATGAATGAAGACATTAATTCCGAAACTTTGCAAAGTTGACGTCCAAGCTGACATAGAAAGAAGACATAGAAAAAAGACATAGAAAGACAAAGAAAAAAAGAAAGCGTGGGCCTATCAATTAAATGGGCATAACATGTCTCCCAACATTTACAACCTGGTGTGACTTGTGATGGAGCTGGCAAAGAGAGCCAAAGGGAATCTTCGGCATCTGACGATATTGATGCAAGCATCAGACATGATGAGATAAGCTCACTCATAACGACTGGCAAACTTTTAAGTGAAAAAGATGTTCTCGACAACACTGGTTCTTTGTTTAGTAAATATGCTCCTCAATATGTCATTGTTTGGTTACATCATCGTACCTTGTACAACATTGATTAAGAGCCAGTTGACGGCCGTTATATGCGGAGACGGTGCTCACGAACGGAAGATGTGAACGACTCGATAAATATATTTTTGTTGGCCTTGATCACAGCATGGATAATAAAATGGCTGGATCTGAAAAGCGTTTTATGTTGTTATGGATGCCTGAGTGACCTTGAAATGGTATCCCGAAAAGTCTTCACGTTTTCGCGGGCGCGTAGCTCAGAAACTAGAGAAGTCTGAATCTTAAAGAGAGAGCTGTAAACTGCACCGAATTATCTTCAATATGGCTGTCTCAGATCAAAACCCCGTATAAATGCGGAACACTCTCCAGAACATTCCCTTTAACCACAGCATTATAAGGAGGCGCCCTAGTTGGGTACCATACCTGAAACGAATGAAAACTGGATATACAGGTAGAAAGTCCATCACTTGTCGTCAGGTTTATCAAAATGCGCTGTAAGTGTTACTCCGAAAGTCATTCTTAGGTTGGATTTCATGCTACGACCAACGAGCACTCCCGTCACAGCGATGCGTTTCTTATCGGATGTCATTCATACGCTGTCTGCGGATGCGACCAGGTCGTATGCCGTCCCTTACTCAGTCGCGGCAGTCGCTGGAGCGGCAGGGTCTAGCTGACCAGGCGCCGGTCAGGCGCGGGTGGGGGGGGGGGGGGGGAGGCACATCAGCCATGTGTCACCGGTCGGGGACTGGCCCTGTGGTGTCACCGGTCGGGTGCTGGCCCTGGGGTGTCACCGGTCGGGTGCTGGCCCTGGGGTGTCACCGGTCGGGTGCTGGCCCTGGGGTGTCACCGGTCGGGTGCTGGCCCTGGGGTGTTATCGGTCGGGTGCTGGCCCTGGGGTGCCACCGGTCGGGTGCTGGCCCTGTGGTGTCACCGGTTGGGGACTGGCCCTGTGGTGACGTTACGTCCGGCAGAGCGCCGGTGTTTTGCAGCGGAGGCAGAAGTCAAGCCACAGCAGGCACGGGTGTGCATATTATGGTACATTCATGTACTATGGTGCATCATTTCAAAGTTCAAAAGTGTCCGTTTGGCTCTATTATTTACATCTGGAGCATACAACCTGCACTTATTTTAAGATGCGTCGATTTTCAGTCATACTGCGTCAAGCAAGCTACTATCCGATCCGATAGTCAGACACCTCCGTCACCGATTCCCCAACAGGCCGACTGCTCGCGACACCGGCCGACTCCCTAACAGGCCGACTGCTCGCGACGCCGGCCGACTCCCTAACAGGCCAACTGCTCGCGACACCGACCGACTCCCTAACAGGCCGACTGCTCGCGACGCCGGCCGACCCCCTAATAGGCCAACTGCTCGCGACACCGGCCGACTCCCTAACAGGCCAACTGCTCGCGACACCGGATTGTCAGCCATTGCAACGAACAATATCCGTTTAATCCATCGCTGATACGGTGACCAAATCAGGCTTCACGAAAGCGAGACTTCTCGTTATGGTCAAAGGGATCGTGCTGAAAGGATCTCAAAAGTTGTCTTACCAACAGTTATTTTGAGTTTCATATGCCAACAGTTGTTCCGTACTCCGCTGTACTCTACTCTAGTACTGGACTCACTAGTGCTGGGCTCATCATGCTGCATGACTCTTTAAAATGCTTAGCCTATTATATGGCTCAATCAGGGACGTAGTTTCTCAAAATGAGTGGGGGGCTGATCCATGAAAAACTCTGAAGCCTTTCACAAAAATTTGCCAGCAAACAAGTTATCTTCAAATTTGACTCTATTCTCCCAAAGCTGGGGGCGCTAAAACCCAAGTTGGGGGAGAGCTGAAGAGCCCCGCAACTGAATAGGAATCTGCATCCCTGGCTAGCATTATTGGGTAAAGCCAAGGCTTAGGTAAAGCCAAGGCTTGGGTAAAGCTGAAGAGCACAAAAGCTAGTATTGCAGGAGTGGAACCATTGTAATATGATATTGCTCACTGTACTAAATTTGTTAATGTGAAAAGATGAACAGTACATGCACAAAGACGATACAAGTGCGTTTCCGCAGCGTCACTCACTGGCTGTTTTGATAAACCTGACGACAGTGATAGACTTCGTTTCTGTTTGTCCCTAATTTGCGCACATTTCAGGTTTGGCACCGAATCGCATGCGTGCCTGAGAAGATATTCAGACAAATAACCGATATGTATTTGGCTCAATGTTTTCATGCATGCAATTAACCGAATGCTGTTTGGTCGATGTGTGCTTTTTGCTGCCGAGTCAAGGCGAAATGCCAAAAGCTGGAACACAATTTGTAATCATGCCTATTCATGGACATTGCCAACTTGGAAAGATGTTATTGCGTCGAAATCCATGGTGAACAGCTGCCGGGATATCCTTTTTGCATTGGCTTCTGTGTGTGGTATAACATTTGGCATCAGTGCTTTTTGGTCTCGGAGAACATTTTTGACCGCGGGCCGATAAGTTTAGCTAATTTCTTCACGAACAATTATTTGAATAAAAATGCGATTGTAATTTCTAGACATTGTGTTGACTGCAGCTATTGCTGTTGAAGCTATGGAACCACTCAGAGTAGCCTTTGGTAATAAATGGCATTCGTGGTAGAACTGGATATTTACGCAAAGTTTCGATGTTAACACGCGCCCAGATGGCCGGTTAGATACCCTTCGCTCGGGTGGGGAGTCAATTTGAGCCCCCTGAGATCTCAGAAACCAGGGAAGCTAGAAACACCAAACTCACGGGGTGTGTTGACCTGTACGTGGGCTCACTTAAATCAAAAGTTTGAGATTCCTGGGTGATGGCCTTCGGGTCTGATAAGGTCAAACAAGGTCAAATTCCAGGTTGGTCTCCAAAGGCCCGCTGGAACCTAGATAACTTTTCTAAGCAAAAGGTCACATGCTCATCTAAGGTTAGTGAACTCGTTTGAACTTTTGAAGGTCGTGGCGACCAAAATCATACAAGACCACTTGAGGTTTGCTTTTGGATATGCGACAAAGATTACGCTAGGCAGTATGCTCCTAAAAAATAAATGTTTATTTAGGTCATTCTAGGTCAGTGACCTATTCTGACCTTTAAGAAATCCATGGAAGGTGTATAATGCGGCTCCTGTTATCATACAATTCGAAATGAGCACCAGCAACTACCCCGTACGGCAAGCCCTGGAGTAATAAAAGAGGTCGGTTTTTATCTTGGTCTGACCTTCATAACTGACCTTAGGTCAATGCCATTTGTTCATTCAGTTGTTGTGTTGCCTAAGAAAGTGTCTCAGAGATGTGTGCTTTTGTCTAACACTCCGTCGTTGGATCAGGTTGAACGATTCCCTAAAAATTGTATTCGCTGAAACCATGGCCTGACTTTGGCCTGCCATAGGTCAGTGACCGCACAAGGTATATATAATTTTTTATTCCAGACAATCCGCTATTCCATGGTCTATAGCTATGCAAAATTTGACGCAGCTACGCCGCGACGCTCGGAAACCATTCCGGAAAAACCGAGTGCGTGTTAATGACGGCGATAGTTGTAGGTGGTGGCCCCTTTCTGCAGCTTGACTGAATAAACTTTGTACTGTCTCCTCATGGTCGTTTTTTATGATATCTTGATACACTCATGATGGGAAAAGACTTAACAAGAGCGTTTGGTATTATATGCTACGAAATGTGCGGATATCCCTACAGCATAAGCTTTTGGTGTGCGTATAGCATCTTGCGTGTGGTGTGGGTAATGCTTCTTGCTCTGGTACTTGTGGTAGAACAGTGCATTTCCGAAAAGTTTCCATGTTGATAACGACGATGCTCGTAGGTGGCCGATCCTTACCACGGCTAGACTGAATAAACTCTTTGATTATCTCATAATGGCTCTGTCTGATATCATAACCCAAGGGTAGTGGGAGCGAAGCCTTAAAATTTATCTGCATAATTCGTCTAGACCCCAGTTTATTCACCCACATTTCAGGAAAGAGAACTGGCAAATTTTGCACCATGTCTCGTACGTTGCGTACGCCGTGTCTTGTTCAGTATTTGATCTGTGTCGAATATTGGCAAAACGCTGCAGGGAAGGAGAGAATTAATGACAGCATCAATGCAAAAAGGAATTATGGTCTTATGAACTTGTACTGATCCAGTCTATTCGCAAAAAACAAGGGTTGAGTTAAGCACACCTAATCAGCACATAGTAATTTAACCCTTTTGTCATTCGGGACGGGGTAGAGATTCGAGTATTTTTTTCCCCTGCTAGATCCCCAGATAACTCAAGCCAGAGGGCTGAAATTCGATGACCTGTCCTAACCATCCATTTGTATAGTGGCCGTTATTCATCATCCTGGGAGGAAATGGACCACCTTGCGTTACTTGGCAGCACCAGACTTAATTTGCGTGCGGGCGTGCTTGCGTGCGTGCGTGCGCGCGTGCGAACGTGTGTGCACGCGCACGCGCTAGTGTGTGCGTGGTATTGCAATGTTGCAGCAAAAACGCACGACCAAATCACTTGCATTTCAATGCCGCACAGTTTATGCGGAATGCATGCTATACAACAATATTCATGTTGTTGAAAGTTGCATGAGCCCGCAAGCAGTGTTTGCAAAGATGTTGGTTTTTCCCAGTCAAGTCCAGCCCGGCGTGACAGCTGGGCTAGGCTGGACCAGCCGGCCGAGTTACACACTACAATTTGAACGACACAGCGTTATGAACTAAGACCTGAGGTATAAGTCGGCGGCTAATTCGCAGCGTTTTGTAAAGGATGGATTGTTTTCGCGCACTGCTCTCTGTAGCACATTTTTAGACCAGCCTTTCTTGTGCAGTTCTGGCTGGCCCAAGCATCCCACAAATATTTGCTTACGAACGTTTCAGATAGCGAACTCACGTTGCCAAGCCCCGGTCCAGAGTACCCACCTCCCGCATGCACTCTAGCGCCACCTATACTAGAGCGACAGTATAGCACCTGTCGGCATTTCGCGAGTTCTGCTTGTGTGACACACAAGCCTGATGCCCGCTCGGCACTGACCATCTGACCATGTTACTCTTGAAACGGATCTTCGGAGGGCAGTGTGAGCTCGACATGGCAGCGAAGCGCCTCATCCCCAAACGTGCGGCTTGAACCGGTTGCCGGATTACCCCAGTACCCGTGTCAGGTGCCTCCCGACCACACCATCGGTCGTCCGGCTCCGGTGTCGTAGACAGCATTCCACTCATGATACCCCCCGCCCCCCACCTACACCTCCAACTACACCTACACCGTTACCCCTTCAAAAGGTCACGCCGACCATCCTGCTTCAGCTTCAGGTCCGGCTCCGTACTCTTGGCTGTGAGGTGAAGTTGGTCACGTTCCTCAAACATGACACAGAAGTTCTCCGTGTTGAGGATTGACTGGCGTCGAATTGCAGCCAGGCACCCGTCATTTTCTACTCAGGCCTCTTTACGCCGATTTTTGCGGTTCTGTTCGACAACATAATGTGCTGAAGGCTTTTATTTATTGTGATCCACTCAGCGATTAACACAACGGGGAACATCGAATCGCGTAGTCATCTCCCTCGTTCGTTGCAAGTCTTTGGATAAACTTGGCATATCAATTAACAGCCTACCACCGGCGTGCAGCCCGATCCGTAAGAGTCTATGTCAGGGAATAAACGACGTAACTTCCTGCGGCGATACATTGAGAAAAAAAATGGTCACGTAGTGTGCTAACCTGTCCACCTGCTATAACCTGGAGACCACGCCTCGCATCAGCAGTCTGTTACATAGACATCAAGCTTGACATACCACAAACTCTGTGGCAGCCAGTAACACGGCAGCGGTACAACTTGACCGACATCTAAAGCGATGCACACCTCTCGTGGGGCGGAGGCCTCGAGTGGCGGTCGACGGGACTCTACTGGCCGGGGCGGGGGCGAACAGGTTGCAGCACGTCCAGCACGGCGCCGATATCGCCCTGCTTGGCCTGCAGCAGCTGCGTCAGCCACCCGCCGTCGTTGGAGAAGCCCATGGCGGACATGATGTCAAGCGCGCGCTGGATGCGCGGGTCCAGCGGGCCAGCTGAGTCGGACGCGACCGGCGCGGATGGGGCGTGCGAGACGACGGCGGCCGGGGCCGGAGCCGGAGCCGGAGCCGGAGCCGGAGCCGGAGCCGGAGCCGGAGCCGGAGCCGGAGCCGGAGCCGGGGCCGGGGCCGGGGCCGGGGCCGGGGCCGGGGCCGGGGCCGGGGCCGGGGCCGGGGCCGGGGCCGGGGCCGGGGCCGGAGTCACAGTGGGAGCGGCGATCCGCGCCGTGTCGGCTGCGGCCTGCGCTAGGTCCGGGTAAACGCGGACGCGGGATCCACTCGCCTCAGACGGCGTGCTGCTGCCGCTCACCACCGTCCAGTCGTCGTGCGGATCACTGTCAACGATGAACTGGGTGATGTCGACCGGAGCGGTAGGCGTCTCGCCAGTGCGGGTGGCCGCCGCAGCCGGCTCCGTCTCCATCTGCTCGGCTCCGCCGACGCTGGCCGCCGCCGGCCGGGAGACAGGAGCCGGATCGCTCGCCGCGGTTTCGGCGCGCGGCGCCTGCTGCTGCGGCGGCGGCGGTTGCGGGGCGGCATCGGCGCCGCCAGCCGCCGCTTCACGCCGCTTCTGGCGCGACTCCACCCCGACGTCGACGTCGATGCCGAACGGGTCGAGCACGGCCGCGATGGTCTGGCCGAGCTCCTCCAGGCTCTTCTCCGTCCAGCGGCCGGCCGCGGCGGCGCCGGCGGGGTCCGCCTCAGGCCCGAAGCCCCCTAGTGCCGACATGGCCGAGTGGATTGCCTCGAAGAAGTTGCTGGGCTGCTTCTGTTGCTGCTGCTGCTGCTGTTCAGCGCCGGACGCGGGCGCCTCTCCGGATGGGGGCGGCGCCGCCGCAGACGGAGGCACCGCAGCGCGCTCCTCGGGGGCGCGCCCGGCCCTGCGACCGCCCGGGCAGCTCATGCCGGCCGGCCAGCCGCATCTGCCGCCGCCCCAGGCGGTGCAGTGGCCGGCGCGGCGGCCGCTGCGCCGTCCGTGTCGGAACACCGGCTGCCACACCTGCTCTGGGCTGGGGATGCGCAGCATCAGGTGCTCCTTGTGCATGCCACGCGCCTCGCAGCCAGCGCACAAGTCATAGTCGTCGCAGCTCATGCACTTGTAACGGTGGCCGCAGATGGTCTGCTCGCAGCCGTCGCAGCACACGCCGCGGTGGATGGGGCCGTCGGCTGCGTCAGTGTCAGCAGCAGCAGCGGCGGTGGCGGCAGCAGCAGCATGCCGGCTCCGGCCGGTGGGTACCACGTGCAGGCGCAGTGTCTGCTGGCCTGCCACCTGCAGGCAGCTGACCAGCGCCACCAGCAGCTCCTCGTCAGAACTGATTGTGATGGCGTCACCATCAGCATCTTCCCAGCGGATGTTGAACTGCTGGCGCAGTAGGCTCGGAAACACCACTTGCAGCTTGCCTTGCAGATAGGAGAAGCTGGTGGCAGCTGAGCTGTCCAGGCCAAACCGGCGGATCTCCTGGTTGCCATCTTCCAGTGCCAGATAGGCCTTTACTGAGATGTTCTTACCATCCATTGTGGGAAACCTGAGAAAAACAAGAGACTTGTCATTACATAATGTCATCCCAAATCTATGTCTTAGATAACAAAATGACAACTATAATGACAAAAATTAACATCACATAATGACAATACACATTCAGTGCAAACCTTTATGGTCTTTATCACACAAAGACAAATTGAAATTACCAGAAATGCACATGTAATGATAAATGGCAAACCCTCCATTCTACCATATATGCATGTGCACACATGCATGTGTATGTATAGTATTTTCAATTTGTCTCTAAAAATGTGTGCATGTAGCCTGCACAAAGTATAACCACAACTTTTTTTGTAAACAGTGTAAGCTGTGACACTAGGTAGACATCCTGAATTTGAGACAACTACATTGTGCTGATCATGTGGCGATCCAAATTCAGGCCAACCAGACTACGGATCTATTTACAAGATGGCCTACTTATCCCAGGAAAATGAAAGCAGACCTTTTTTCAGCTTGAAATCTCCTGCAGCACACACGGACACTCCAGCCGTCGCAACGTGAATGAGAGGAGTGAGGGCTCGCACAGCGGTGACCAGATTATATACCCACCCTTCCTGAGTCATGGCGACCAGCCGTCAGCAGCGCACCAACCCGATTGTTCCCGAGAGCACCACCGACACGAAGCGACCTGAATCGGCAAGTCACCATCCAACAACGCAGTAGACGACGATACGTGATTCATGCCGTGACTCAGCTGACTCAGCTGCTCTATTTTGTATTGTAGAGCCAGAAAGTAACACGTCTAACGAAAAAGTTGCACAAATCTGGAGACTATTCGGAGAGATGACGGGCGCGGCTAGTCTTGTAATTTCTCAGGACCCAAGAGTGTTTTAATGGCTGTGTGAGAATATAAAAACAGGTGATATCACTGGGAAGGTTTGACAATGGCTTAAATCTGGCGCTTTATTTACGCTTTTTCAGTGATTCTTGGCGAAAACAGCGTTTAAGCGTACTTGCGGGGAATGTGTGCGTGCAAGGTGTCAGAGGGTACCTGCTGCTGCGAAAGTTTGCGTAGTGTGGTGAGCGCCGCTTCGAGCCGCTCGCGTTAACCCCCCCCCCCCCCCCCCCTCCTCCTGCCCCAGGCGCCTCGTGCGAGGGACGCGGCTGCGGGGGCCAGGAGAGGGGAGTAACAAAGGAGAAGACTCGGAGAGCCGCCGGCGCGATGGACCGTGTGGAGTGCCTGTGACGAGTGTGAAATACAGAAGTGGCTTTGAACGTACCGTGTGTACCGGTGAGCCGGAGGCGAGACACCAGAACAGCAGAACTTGCATATGGGGCCTTAGCGTTTTTGTCGCAGCCAGGTTGTTGAAAAGTGCACCAATAACGATTAACAAGTTAATCAGGCATAGACTATTGTTCAAAAGTAACAACAAACGATTTGTATCATCAGAAGCTGATTGAACTAACACAATGGACAGAAACATGGAGAAGCCCTGTCCGATCTGCACTTTGAATGTCTAGTTTCGTTTGCAAAATAGTCTGGGTCAATTTCATGGTGACAACGATTTTGTGGGACTACGCTCTCTGTTGCACATTTGCCTTGTGATATATGCGCGCTCTCGCCGGTATCAGTAGATAGGTATCAGTAGATAGGTATCAGTAGATAGGTATCAGTATCAGTATCCCGGTGACCGCTGGCCGCGGCGGCCGGCCAGCCGCACAGGCGCGCGCACTAGTACTGCAATACACCGCACTATCCGCTCTCCAGCTTACGAGTCCATCGGTATCCACCTCCCCCCCCCCCCCCCCCCCACCCCCACCGTGCAGACTTCACGGTCCATTCGCCGTGCCGCATCGCTCAAGAGGACGGCCTCGCTTCTCACTGCGGCGGCGGTGGGGGATTGCTCGCGCTTCAGTGGAGCGATCAACCATCACCTGTTTCTTCAACATGTCTCTCGGCATTTTCAGGCTCGGCATTTTCAGACTCAGTCATTTTCTGAGTCCCACATCTCTTGGTTCCACGTCAACGCTGGCCATCTGTCCGCGTCATTTGTCACATTCTCATCTGCCTTTGTCCCCTGGTCCCTGTCATCCTGGCTCGTCAGATGCGGCTGCCTTCTTCTCACAGGTTTCAACTGATCGAAATGACGTATGACACGATGCCTGAAGTTGTCCTATCTTTTGATGCGGTGTGTGTTCCCTTGCCGGCAGCTGATCACTACAAAGGGGCCATCCGAACGGGGTTGAACTTTTTCTGGCATTCCTGGCTTTTGTGGAAGCTTCATAAACAACCGATCCCAACGATAAGGGACCATATTTGCCGTCTTTCTACTAGTATCCAATCTTTCCTGTTTTGTCTTGTGCTCCCGTCTGACTACCTCCTCGTGAGCTCTCACCAACGTTTTCACCAGGTTTCTGGCCCAAGACTGCTCTGTGCCGAAACGGCTTGAAGAACTTTCCTCCGTTCGAGCTATCCCAGGAGTGCGTGGGTGGCGACCAAACTGGAGGAAAAGGGAGACCCACCAGTGGCGTTGTGCGGAGCTGACATGTACTGGAATCTGACAACACCCAGACACTTGTCCCATTCGAATCCGGACTCCTGCACATTGCGACGGATCAGGGCACCGATTGTCTGGTTTGCCCTTTCCACGGCCCCATTCGACTGTGGATGCAATGCACTAACCCTTGTTTTGTGTATGCCCACCGATTGGGCCAACACCGCCAGATGATGCTTGTTAAATTCCAGATCACGATCTGTCAGTATGGATTCCGGGAGACCGTGACGGTACACGACACTCTCGATCAGCGAGCTGGCGACGGCTTCAGCCGATTTGTCTGGAATGGCGGCCAACTCGACAGTCTTGGTCAGAAGCTCCAGTGCGCCTAGAACGTACCGATCACCCCGTCCTGTGGTTCCCCGTCCGAGCGGCCCTATCAGGTCAACACCGACGTGCTGCCAAGGCGCTGTGGCCTGCGTCGTCATTTCCAACCGCGCGGTGAAACGACGTTGCGTATTGTTTGAATGTGCACGCACCAAACAGCTCCTACAGTAGTTCCTGACATCGTGATCTATTTCCCACCAAATATATCCAGCATGCTTCAGCAGCTGGCAGGTTCTTCCAGCACCGAAATGTCCGAACTCGTCATGCTTGAGGCTAAAAACACGTGTAATGAGGCCTTTCGGGACCAACCTCATACCTGCTTTGACGACGCTTAACAGACCGCTGCCATTATCAATGTCCGGTTCAAAACCACACTGTCGCTACCGATGGCTGTGTGGACCCTGCACTCTGTTGAGACGTGCTTCCATGCGCAGTGCCCTGAACGCCTCGTCCTGCTCCTGAGCACCTCGCATTCCCTCCTCGACCAGGCGGATCAGATCGCGTAGCTGAGACTGTGGCGCTGGCTGCGCTGCGGAGATCATCACGCGAGACAGGGCATTAGCATGTTGGCTTTTCTCGGCGCGACGGAAATGTATGAAAAAATTGAACTCCTCAATCTATTCAACCCAGCATGCGTACCACCCTCTCGGATATTTGGTGTTATTCAAAGCGTGCGAGCACAACCAGTGTCAAAAAACATCAATAACAACCATGGCTGAGAATTGTTGAGCGCACTAAGCAGTTATATAACAGCGGCCCGACACATTGAATGAGTAGCCAAAGCAATACTCTCATGTTGGTATTTTTAAAAACACATTCTCCCTAGCGGTCACTGGTTAAACTAGCACAAAACAAACTTGTACATACTTTTGTATGCGTCTTCCTCGCATGGGGAAGTGTATAACTACCCACTCAGTTCTCGCATATGTGGAACTGTCGACGAAGAACGCATCAGACAGTTGACGAGGCTACTTAGTTCACTTCTGCTACTTAGTTCAGGTACACGACAGATCTAAGCTCGCTCAACGTTCATCTCGACTAGTGAGGAGATAGTGCAAGGACATCCAGGGACGCAGCAGGTTGGACGTAAGCAACCATTGCTTGGTGAGCGGTGATATTTAACAAAGCTTATCCAGTTTGGAAACAATCAACACAGATAGTCGGAAACGCTTTCAGCCTTTCAGAGTCTCTGGATGGGCTTGCAATACTCATATATGTACATGAAGATGTACCTTGGCAAACTAGCTATTCACATCATGACATGCAAACGAATATAGATATCGAGCCTGTTCTCTACAATAGAAGAAGCCTAAGAGCTCTATAGGTATCCGGGAAGTCAAGGCGTTTCCGATGAACGAAGCTATGTCAAATTCATGGAACACCGTGACCACGCGGTGCATGATGATGGCGGGTTTAAAGCCGGGTACGTGGACGGTGTAATCCAGCGCTCCCACCATCCACCGCTGCTGTTTAGTACTCTGAAGAAAAAAAAGAAACACGTTAAGAAAAACTTACATCAAGACATGGTACGCACTGATCAGAAACATTATGACCTAGTATTACGCCGTACCATGTGTTATTGATCGATACAAGTTAGTCATGACCGGAAACGCACCGCATATGAGCCGGTCATATTTCCCAACTCATTACTGTTCGAGACGTGGTTTTACTAACAATTGTCAATGAAAGGTCGTATCAATTCACAACAAGCAAGATTACCTTATTTCTTTGCTGATCCCACGACTGTGGTGACGCTGCCTTTAGGACGCAGGCAGGCGACGATTTTCTGGCTGCAGCAGAAAGCTTGCCTTCGACACCGAGTGGGAATGCTCCAGTGAGATGTCCCTAATCTCCAAACGCAATGACTTTTCCAGAAACACTAGGATGCTTACGGGACAGCCGACTTTTTTGGTTCTCGTGTTTCGGACACGACGATCACCAGCTTTGCTTTCGTACTGGCGCCCACCATGAGTGCATGAAAATTTAACGAGACGGTACTTTTTCTGCTGCAAAAGCGCCTCCTTGTCAGCACGGTCAGCGATCAACTTTGAAATAAAGTGCCCAGGATTTGTCTGAAGAAATTTACCAAGAGTGACAGAGCACGACTTGAAAAACTTCACATTCGTCTCGGCCTCCAATTCACGGATATGGGCATCTAGCTCATTAAAGGAATGAAAACAGTCACCTTTCCTCAACACCGGCATCTTCTATCTTTTGTTGAGATGCTATACGTCTGAAACATAGCGAAGTATGTTAGCTAAGTGCACTGCCCAGTAATGTCCACAGACATTATGCACAAAGCACAACCAGCTAGTTTGCCAGCTGGCATACCAAGAACCACAAGGAGGCAGGAATATTAGGTCAGACCAGCAGGGATCCCAGGTCAGATCATGAGGAGTCACAGGTCAGATCATGAGGAGTCACAGGTCAGATCATCAGGATTCACAGGTCAGATCATCAGGAGTCACAGGTCAGATCATCAGGGGTGCCAGGTCAGATCATCAGGGGTACCAGATCAGATCATCAGGGGTAAGAGGTCAAATCATCAGGGGTACCAGGTCAAATCATCATGGTACCAGGTCAAATCATCAGGGTACCAGGTCAGATCATCAGGGGTAGGTCTGGTACCCACCTCCTGATGGCCTGACCTGGTAATTCTAACTCCAGTAGTCTGATCTGGTGACCCCACACACTGATGGTCTGATCATCAGTAGCACCAGGTCAGACCATCAGGCACAAGGCACCATGCCAAACAAGCAGGGGGCATGGGTACCAGGTCAGACCAGCTGGCAGCAGCAGTGTCAGGTCAGACCATCAATAGTGGGGGTACCCTATCAGGTGGCAGGAATACCAGGCCTGACCACTAAGCACAGGGGTACCAGATAAGACCATCAGGGGCAGAGGTATCAAGTCCTTCTACCATGTGGCACAAGTACCATGTCAGATCACCATGGGACAGCAGTATTATGCTACCAGGAGCACTGGTACCAATTCACACCATCAAGTTGTGGTGCTGGGTAAGGCCACCAGGAGGAAGTAGTACCAGGTCAGACCATGGGGGGCAGGAGTGCCAGGTCTGGCCACCAAGGGCCAGAGTACCAGGAGGTAGGAGTAACTCGCCAGACTCTCAAGGGCAGTAATATCAGGTTGGGAAGCCTGACCTTGAACTGCTGCTATCTGATGCATCAAAGGGGCCTCTTGAATAGAGTGCCTCTTAATCCAGTACAGGGCTTTCTGGCTTGTAACACAGCCTGCCAAGCCAGCAAAGGGCTCACCATAACACAACATTGGGCCTTCTGATCTAGAACATCAGGGGCCAGGGTGCCAGATTGCAGGAGTACTACATTAGACTATCAGGGGCAGAGGCAAGAGCCAGACCATTAGTGCTATATGAAAAAGTTATCAAGGCTGTATACCACATGAAATGTTTAAAGCCTAGTTTGGCTCAACAACTGATGCATAATGCAGGGATCACTCAGCATACACTCAGCTTTTTTTACCACTGCGGAGGATGATCAAGCCATTAAGTAATGATATTAGACAAACAAGGGCAATGAGGAGAGTCAATCCAATTTGCAACCTTGATAGGTTATGAAAACAAACTGAAAAAGCCAGCATGTTTGCTAGCATATGGAAGCTGCACAGAAACTGGTCGCAGTCCGGGAAGACCTCTGTGATGGCGAACTTCTCAGTGTGATTCTTGTCAGTCAGCCACACCTACAGCTTTCTTACATATATATATATATATATATATATATATATATATATATATATATATATATATATATATGATCTAAACACTGCTTTTGAATAAGTTTACATACATGCAAAGAGTATGTGAACAGTTGTGGACAACAACAATCAAGTTTATTGTTTGCATTCTAACCTTAGTGGGTCCTAAAATGCATGCTGATGAAGCTAAGATCTCCAGTAACATCTTTCCTTGCCTCACCAGATCCAAATTTGCTTTTCAAACACAGCTGCTGTTTTCCCAAAGTTTTTAAAATAGATAAATACCTGTTTTAGGCCACTCGTTTTGTTACAATTGCGTACCTCGCTCACAAGATATCTCCCTGTCAATGCTAGATTTTGAAAAAAACTTAATCATTCCCAGCTGTTACTTTACAGCTTTCAATACATTTTGTTAGAAGCATATATGTACTGGTCAAATCTTTTCTTAAATTAATACCACCTGATGTAAAATACTTTCCAGCATTTCACCAAAATCCACAGATTTTGATGAAAACACCTACCCAATCTTGCTTTCAGCCAGGATGGGCCAATTCCTTTTCAAACCAGAAGACAGGCATTCAAAGAATCAGGTGAAGATCACCATTATCATATACATAAGAACTGTAACATTCAATCAGCTGACAAAACCTGCTTCCATTTATGACAAAATGTATAGGTACAAAGTATGCACTACTTTTAATGAATTACCTAAACACAAAGTAGAAACAAGTGAGGGAAAATCAGTCCAGCCTGCTCATGCTGACAGAGGGAATGGCACCATGGATTTTTGGTTTTGGGGGGAAGGATATCCAAGGGGCCTCCTAAGCAAAATGGGACTGCCTCACAGGGGGCCTCATGGGCAATGTTGTCTCGAAAGTTGAAGGGAAAGGAAAATTGCAGGCATATGTTCTTTTACCAAACTGTTATAAGCATTATATCCAGGTAGATACATGTTGACAATAAAACAAACAGGACCTTATAATTTTGCAACAAAGGGCACTGGTACCATACAACATGGCCTCCTGGCACATGAAAGGGCTTTGCCACCAAGAACAGCATACTTTCAATCCACAAAAGGGGCCTTCAATGTTTAAGGAAATCCTGATTTTGAACTGCTGCCATCTAACCGTCTGCCGGCAATGGGAGGGGGGGGGGGCGGGGACAGCCCCTATGCCATTGCTGCGTCGTCCCTGGTTGAAAGCACCCTGATTTTGACCTACGCCTCGTCTCTGGCCAAGTGTACCTATTTAATGAAATTACTTTCATTGATCTGTGACTCGATTCGATATGCACATACCGGTAATTTTTTACTTTGGTACCTGTATGGCCGACGGAGGGAAGAGCTACGCTAGCTGCAGGGTTTCGAGTATTGTCGTCCGGGGGAAAAGCTGTGAGGCATCGGCTGACATTGTGACGTCACTGAAAATGGTTTTGCATCGATCGGGATGGGGGTCCTTTCGGGCCGACTGAAGGCCATAAGGCTTTTGAATGTGACATGTCACTGGTATTCGGCTGGGTATGTGACGTCACGGGTCGTGAGTTTGTAAGGCTCTTTTGGGTCCACCGAATGCCGTAATGCATCAGCTGGCCATGTGTCGTCACTGTTATTCGATTAAACATCAGGCGCGACCGGCCTCGTTCCATCTTTACTTTTCGTACCTGACTGCTGCAAGCATTTGCGTGCCGCATAAAGGTTTGACCGAATCACCTCAATGTGTGACGTCCCTAATCATCACTTCATACGGGTGCACTTAGGCCCCACGACCACGGTGTGTCATGGTCTACGAAGTATCACCGGATAGCGTGACGCCACTGGTATTCGAATAAATACTGAGCGCAACAGGCCGTGCTTTATTTTTACCTTTGTATCTGACTACTGCAAGCATTGGCGTGCTGGATGAAAGCTGCCGAACCACCTGAGTGTGTGACGTCACTGGTCACGAGTTTCACCGGTGCTTTTCGGCCAACTGAAGACCACAAGGTGTCAGCTAACGACGTCACTGCTATACGACCGATTGTAAGACGTCAATGGTCGTGGGTTTCCACGTGTCCTCTAGGACCGACGAAATGCCGTAAGGCATCAGCTGGCGATATGACGTCACTGGTATTTGGCTGAACATCAGCCAACAGGTCATGCTCCATTTATACCTTTCGTACATGTCTGCTGCAAGTATTGGCGGATTTTTTGCGGCCAACTGAAGGCCATAAAGCATCAGCTAGCGATGTGACGTCACTGGCATTCGACCGTGCGTGTCGCTGGTCATGAGATTTTACGGCCTCTTTTGGGCCGACGAAAGGTCATACGGCACTGACTGACGATGTGACGTCACTGGTATTCGAATGAACTTCGGGCGCGACAGGCCATGTTCCACCTTTATCTTTGGTACCTGTCCATTGCAAGCATTGCCGTGGAAGGCTCTGCCAAATTACCTGAGTGTGTACGTCACTGACCATTAATTTGTATACTCTTCTGAACCTACTATAGGCCACAAAGCATCAGCTGACGATATGATGACACTAGGTCTCGACTAGACATCATGCGCAACAGGCCATGCTCTATCTAAGCCATGTTTCGTCTGTACCTTTCGCACCTATCTACTGCAAGTATTCGCGCGACACATAGGGGCTCTGCCGAATTACCTGAGCGTGTGGTGTAACTAGTCATGAGTTTACGCGGGTTTACTCTGGCTGACCGAAGGACATCAAGCATCAGCTGACGATATGACGTCACTGGTATTCGACTATACTCCAGGCGCGACAGGCCATGTTCCATCTCTACCTTTCGTACCTGTCTCTTGGAAGTATTGGCGTGCTGAATGAAGGCTCTGTCGAGTCTCCTGAGTAAGTAACGTCACTGGTCAAGAGCTTTTTACGGGACCTTTTGTACCCCCAAACGGTATAATGTATCAGCTGACGATATGACGTCACTGATGTCCGACTTAACATCAGGCGCGACAGGCCATGTTCTATCTTTACCTTTCGTACCCGTCTATTACAAGTACTGACGTGCTGAATGAAGGCTCTGTCGAGTCTCCTGGGTGTGTAACGTTACTGGTCATGAGTTTTTTCTGGCTCCTTGGAACCCTCTATAGGGAAAAATGCATCAGTTGACGACGTGATGCCAATGGTGTTTGACTTAACATGAGGCGTAACAGGTCATGTTCCATCTTTGCCTTTCGTACCTGTAAAGTATTGGTGCGTTAAATGATGGCTCTGCCGAGTCACTTGAGTGTGCGACGTCACTGGTCATGAATTTTTACGACTATTTTTGGCTGAGCGAAAGCCATAAGGCATCAGCTAACGAAATGACTTCACTGGTAGTCCACTGAGTGTGTGACGTCACTGGTCATGAGCTTTTACGGGCCTTTTTTGGCCGAGTTCAGGCCATTAGGCATCAGATAACGTTATGGCGTCACTTGTATTCGAATTAACATCAATTGCAATAAGCCATGTTTCATCTTTACCTTTCGCATCTGCCTACTGCAGGTATTCGTGCGCTACAAAAAGGCTCTGTCGATTCGCCTGAGCGTGTGGTGTAACTGGTCATGAGTTTGTGCAGGTTTACTCGGGCTGACTGAAGGACATCAAGCATCAGCTGACGATATGACGTCACTGGTAATCGACTAAACTCCAGACGAATCATCTG